AGGAAGTGATTGATTTCAGTTATTCTTTCCAAGGGATGTGCTATCAAATATTAAATTTGGGGTGCCAACAATTTTGTTCAGTCCATTTTTGAAGTTATGCCTTTCCATCTCTAAATTCCACCAACACTTGCTATTCTTGAAATGGCAAATAGATAATAGGCAATACAGTACCTCTCATAGACTGCATGTCTACACACATTCCTGTTAATTAGCAAAGATAACACAGGAGCAGACCTGGGAGAGGCTCCAATTGTGAAAAATGCTGAGACTGGAGGAGTGGCTACACAAAGACACTAAAATTCAAATGTATGCACATACACCTGACAGTTAAAAGCGGCATACATTGTTTAGATAAAAGGACATTTGTTTCTAAAAGAAAACAAAATTATGTTATGTGAACATGTTATACACAAATGCAGCTTTATTTGAAAAAAAAGAAACACACAAAGCAGAAAGTGGACTTAGCACTGTTGAAGCCAACACTCCAGTGCCTATCAGGCTTAACCATTGTTGGTGCATATGGTGGTCGTTTTCAGATTCAATTATTATTTGTTTATTAAAAGAGTTGTAATAGCAATACATACAATAGTTATTGTTATAGAGTTATTATGTTGTCTGCATTCCTGTACATGAAACAGTTATTTTAGCCAATTTAGAATAAGCTTATTTGAAAAATCTCCTTTCACGTTGTGAGTTCTGCCTGTCTGCTGGTCATCTCTTTCTGCAACTTCCTGGATTCCCTGCATGCTTTGCAGCTTCTCCTCTTCTGTTTACTTTCATTTCATGAGGACTACATATCCCATAGTACATTGCTGCCTACAAGCAATGACTCCTTTACTGACACCTCATCCTGAATTCCTCCTCTCACACCTATGTAGTTCAGAAGGCAGGCTCTGTGAAATGTGTGACACAGCAGTACCTACTCATAGGACATAGTAAATATGTGTCACAGAATTCAAGGAAGTAAATGTGTGGGGATCTTCACAAAGTAAGCTTACAGACTTCAGGATTGTTCAGAATAATAGGAGTAGGCTAGAAATAAGTGCTATCCAATGTGGAAAATTGATATACGATTTGTGATCTTGATCATTCAGTGCATCCAGAAAGTATTCACAGCGCTTAACTTTTGCCACATTTTATGTTACAGTCTTATTCCAAAATGGATTAAATTCATTTTCTTCCTCAACATTCTACAAACAATACCCCATAATGAAAACGTGAAAGAAGTTTGTTTTGAAATCTTTGCAATTTATTAAAAATAAAAACAAAATAAACCACATGTACATAAGTATTCACAGCCTGTGCCAACTGACACTCAAAATTGAACTCTGGTGCATCCTGTTCCCACTGATCATCTTTAAGATGTTTCCACAACTTGATTGGAGTCCACCTGTGGGAAATTAAGTTGATTGGACATGATTAGGAAAGGCATAAACCTGTCTATATAAGGTCTCACAGTTAACAGTACATGTCAGAGCACAAACCAAGCCATGAAGTCCATGGAATTGTTCATAGACCTCCGAGACAGGATTGTATCAAGGCACAGATCTGGGGAAGGGTATAGAAAAATTTCTGCGGCATTGAAGGTCCCAATGAGCACAGTGGCCTCCATCATCTGTAAATGGAAGAAGTTTGGAACCACCAGGAATCTTCCTAGAGTGGGCTGCCCGGCCAAAATGAGCGATCGAGGGAGAAGGGCCTTAGCAAGGGAGGTAACCAAGCACCCAATAGTCACTCTTAAAGAGCTCCAGCATTTCTCTGTGGAGAGAGGAGAACCTTCCAGAAGAACAACCATCTCTGCAGCACTCTACCAATCAGGCCTGTATGGTAGAGTGACCAGACGGAAGCCACTCCTTAGTAAAAGGCAAATAGCAGCCCACCTGGAGTTTGCCAAAAGGCACCTGAGGGACTTTCAGACCATGAGAAACAAAACTCTCTGGTCTGATGAAACAAAGATTAAACTCTTTGGCCTGAATGCCAAGCGTCATGTCTGGAGGAAACCAGGCACCGTTCACCACCTGGCCAATACCATCCCTACAGTGAAGCGTGGTGGGTGGCAGCATCATGCTGTGGGGATGTTTTTCAATGGCAGGAACTGGGAGACTAGTCAGGATCGAAGGATAGATGAATGCAACAAAGTACAGAGACATCCTTGATGAAAACCTGTTCCAGAGCGCTCTGGACCTTAGACAGGGGCAACAGTTCATCTTTCAACAGGACAATGACCCTAAGCACACAGCCCACATAACAAAGGAGTGGCTACGGGCCAATTCTGTGAAAGTCCTGGAGTGGCCCAGCCAGAGCCCAGACTTGAACCCGTCCATCCAACCTGATGGAGCTTGAGAGGTACTGCAAAGAAGAATGGGAGAAATTGCCCAAAAATAGGTGTGCCAAGCTTTTAGCATCATACTCAAAATGACTTGAGGCTGTAATTGGTGCTAAAGGTGCTTCAACAAAGCATTGAGCAAAGGCTGTGAATACTTATGTACATGTGTTTTTTTTCGGTTTTTATTTTTAATAAATTGCAAAGATTTCAAAACACTTATTTTAGGGTGTCATTATGGATTATTATTTGTAGAATGTTGAGGAAAAAAATGAATTTAATCCATTTTGGAATAAGGCTGCAACATAACAAAATTTGTAAAGTTAAGCGCTGTGAATACTTTCTGGATGCACTGTATGTACATTTTAAAGCACAGTTTCCAGCAGATACATAAAATACCATACAGTCCAGCATTTTATTAAAGTGGTTTTAAAGGCTCAAGGTTTTTTACCTTCTTGCATTCTATGCATGAATGTAAAAACCCTTCTCTGTGCAGCATCCCCCCAGTCCCCCTTAATACTAAGCCCCCTCTCGATCCAGCGATGTGCACTGGAGTCTCGGCTATCCTGGGACTCCTTCCTATTGGCTGAGACAGAAGCGGGAGCCATTGGCTCCCACTGCTGTCAATCACAGCCAGTGAGCCAATGAGAAGAAAGAGGGGGGGGTGACTGGACACATGGAGCATTGGGTGCCCCTATAGCAAGCTGCTTGCTGTGGGGGCACCCGAGAGGAGGGAGAGCCTGCGGAGGACCTGAGAAGAGGAGGATCCGGGCTGCTCTGTGTAAAACCACTGCACACAGCAGGTAAGTATAGGCATGTTTGTTATTTTTTTTCTTTAAAGCCTTTAGAATCACTTTAACTTACTAAGCGTTATGTGTTGTACTTACATTGGGGAAAAAATGTATTTGATCCCCTGCAGATTTTGTTAGTTTGCCCACTTACAAAGATATGAAGAGTCAATAATTTTTATCGTAGGTGTATTTAAATGACAGACAGAATATCAACCAAAAATCCAGAAAAAACACATGGAGCAAATGTTATAAATTGAGTTGCAATTCAGGGTAAAATAAGTATATAGTCTCCAAGAAAAACATTACTTAGTACTTGGCGGAGAAACCCTTGTTCGCAAGCACAGAGGTAAGACGTTTCTTGTAGTTGGTTACCAGGTTTGCACACATATCAGGAGAGATTTTGGTCAAGTTAATGCCAAAGAGCTCAATTTTGGTCTCATCGGACCACAGCACTTTCTCCCAATTTGTCTCTGAATCATTTAGATGTTCATTGCCAAACTTCAGATGGGCCTGTACATGTGCCCTATTGAAGAGGGGGACCTTGCTGGTGTTGAAGGATTTCAATCCATGGCGGCGTATTATGTTACCAATAGTTTGTTTGGTGACTGTGGTCCCACTGCCTTGAGATCATTCACAAGCTCCTCCCATGTAGTTCTGGGCTGATCCCTCACTTTTCTCATGATTATCCTTACTTCATGAGGCAAAATCTTGCATGGATCTCCAGACCGAGTGCGATTAATTGTTATTTTGTGCTTCTTCCATTTGCGAATAATCGCTACAACAGTTGTCTCCTTCTCACCAAGCTTCTTGCTGATGGTCTTCTAGCACATTCCAGCCTTGTGCAGGTCTACAATCTTATCCCTGATGTCCTTTGACAGCTCTTTGGTCTCTCCCATGGTGGTGAGGTTTGAAGAGAAGAAAGAGATTCTGTGGACAGGTGTCTTTTACACACATAACAAGTTGTCATTAGGAGCACCTTCCTAAATTGACAGGACTAATCTGTGTACCACATGAGTACATAGCCAGTCTGTGGGAGCCAGAATTATTGTTGGTTGGTAGGGGATCAAATACTTATTTTACTCACTGAACTGCAACTCAATTTATAACATTTGTATCATGTGTTTTTTCTGGATTTTTGGTTGATATTCTGTCTCTATCATTTAAAATACACCCATGATAAAATTATAGACCCTTCATTTCTTTGTAATGGGCAAACTTACAAAATCTGCAGGGGATCAAATAATTATTTTCCCCACTGTACTTCTCATAAATTACTCACACTAAAACTGTGGGTGGGCTGCAAGTCTGTATAGCCATACACAGTGATGTCATTCGAACATGTTCCCAGAGCTGGGGGCTGAAGTGTTTAGGCAGCCTTCAGGGAAGCATAGGGAGGACTTCAACAGCACAATGCAGTGCTTGTGATGGGAAGATGATACAGGTAGATGCAGGCCTTAGTAGTGGTATCAATTTTTGACCACGTGGTGTGGCAGAGGTGTGGAAATCACAGCAGTTTGAGTAGTTGAACAAAATTGCTAAACTATTGGTAGGTATAGTACTTCACATCTGTGTATTTCAGCTGTTTGTCCAAAGCACTACTGTAAATCCCATGAAGAGTGTTTGGTGGAACTCTTCCTAAGTTCCTAAGTGGCTGCTCGTGTCTCTGTCTGATACCAGGACTGTCTTTCTTGTCTCTCTCTATGTGACTGTCTCTTTCTGTTTCTCTCTGTGCTGTCTCAGGACATGTCACTGCAAGGCCTGGGGACGGTAGGTGTCTGTCAGTCTCATACATCTGATCCGTGTATCCCAAGAGGGGTGGGGGGGAGAAATTTTTAAATGGGCCAAACCTGGAGTGCTGCCACTAATAAATTTCACCCCCTTCACAGTTCAGTGTCCCGGGACAGCCGACTGCCAATCATCTGCCGTGAGGAAGCATCTCAGGATGAGACGTATGATGCCAGTGAAGAGGTGGAGTACAACAGTGAACCAAGCCTCCTCTGCTCAGACATGTAAGATTACAAACACACAGAAGGTATTAACTGCAATGGTTTTATAGTGGGTAATAATAATAATTAAAAAAAAATGCTTTTTCTTTTTACCGGATACAGGCCTTCATGCTATAACTTACTATAACAGAGTCCATTTTGAATGGTTGTTGGGTGCGAAATCAAATAGAATGTGCATTTTATTCCAAAAGTTTTAGTTTGAGAAATAATTCACTGATCGTGACATTGTCTCCCAGATGCCCAATAAATTAATGCTGATGGATGTATGGCTTTAGACAGCCCATTGCTGCACAGAAAAAGAAAGTCATCCTGGAGGCTGCAGTTAAAAATGAAAAATGGTTTCACTGAAAAAAAAAACTAAAAATGGCTACAAAGGGAATATTTCATCTTATATCTTGATTATGCACACACATTCCAATATGACCCTTTATAATGTATACATATTTATCAGATAGAAAAAACTCCTTACCATTGCACTACCTTTCTTATTACACTCACCAGCAGGATGTCACACACTCCACCATGACCCTCCATATACAGTTGCAAGAAAAAGTATGTGAACCCCTTGGGATTATGTGGAGTTTTGCATGAATTTGATCATACAATGTGCTCTGAATGTCATCTAAGTCACAACAATAGAAGAACACAGTCTGCTGAACATAATACTACACAAACATTAGATGTTGCCATGGTTTAATTGCACATAACATGTAAACATTCACAGTGCAGGGAGGAAAAAGTATGTGAGGCCCTAGCTTAATGACTTCTCCCAGAGCTAATTGGAGCCAGGAGTGAGCCAACCTTGACTCCAATCAGTGTGATGATATTGGATGTGTTGCTGACAGCTGTCCTGCCCTTAAAAAACACACACCTGTTTTGGGTTTACTGGTTTCAAGAAGCACTGTCTGATGTGAACCATGCCTCGCAGAAAAGAGCTCTCAGAAGACCTACGATCAAGAATTGTTGACTTGCATGAAGCTGGAAAGGGTTACAAAAGTATCTCCAAAAGCCTTGATGTTCATGTGTCCACGGAAAGACAGACTGTCTACAAATGGAGAAAGTTTAGCACTGTTGCTACTCTCCCTAGGCGTGGTCGTCCTGTAAAAATGACTGCAAGAGCACAGCGCAGAATGCTGCATGAGGTAAAGAAGAATCCCAGAGTGTCAGCTAAAGACCTACAGATATCTCTGGCACATGCTAACATTTTTGTTGACACATCTACAATAAGGAAAACATTAAACAAGAATGGAGTACATGGGAGGACACCACGGAGGAAGCCATTGCTGTCCAAAAAGAATATTGCAGCACGTTTGAAGTTTGCAAAAGAGCACCTGGATGTTCCACAGCACTACTGGCAAAATATACTGTGGACAGATGAAACCAAGATTGAGTTGTTTGGGAAGAACACACAACACTACGTGTGGAGAAAAAAAGGCACAGCACACCAACATCAAAACCTCATCCCCACTGTAAAACATGGCGGAGGGAGCATCATGGTTTGGGGCTGCTTTGCTGCCTCAGGGCCTGGACGGATTGTTGTCATTGATGGGAAAATGAATTCCAGAGTTTATCAAGACATTTTGCAGGAAAACGTACGACCATCTGTCCGCCAACTGAAACTCCGCAGAGGATGGGTGATGCAACAGGACAATGACCCAAAGCATACAAGTAATTCAACAAAACAATGGCTGCAACAGCACAGAATACGCCTTCTGGAGTGGCCCAGTCAGAGTCCTGACCTCAACCCGATTGAAATGCTGTGGCATGACCTTAAGAGAGCGATTCACACCAGACATCCCAAGAATATTGCTACACTGAAACAGTTTTGTGAAGAGGAGTGGTCCAAAATTACTCCAGATCGTTGTGCAGGTCTGATCTGCAACTACAGGAAATGTTTGGTTGAGGTTATTGCTGCCAAAGGAGGGTCAACCAGTTATTAAGTCCAAAGGTTCACATACTTTTTCCTCCCTGCACTGTTAATGTTTACATGTTATGTGCAATTAAACCATGGCAACATCTAATGTTTGTGTAGTATTATGTTCAGCAGACTGTGTTCTTCTATTGTTGTGACTTAGATGACGTTCAGAGCACATTTTATGCCCAATTCATGCAAAACTCCACATAATCCCAAGGGGTTCACATACTTTTTCTTTCAACTGTAGTAGAAAATACTCTGCTCCTGACATTCTTTCTACATTTCTGATTACACTCACCATGAACATATCACACCCTCCAATATGACCTGCCTTAAGGTAGAAAATACTCTGCTCCTGGCTTTCTTTCTAACCTTCTGATTACACCCACCATGGGGATATCACACCCTATGTGTAAAGTCAGCAGACCATATTGTAGTCTTATCTCATATTTTTCACATTCTGTACAGGTTCTCAGATCGAGATGAGGAGAGCCGGCAACTGACCCCATCAGAGGGAGAAGTGGAGAGAGGGCTGTGTCCATCTCCCAAGAGAAGCTTCCTGCGTTCTGCCTCGTTAGGTAACTGCAAACACCATTGTATTGATTTTATTCTTGTCTCTAAGACACTTTCTACAACACAGATAGAGAACTGCAGACAGTAAAATAATCGTCAGTGTTGCTCTCATCTGTTACTTTCTTTGCAGGCAGGAGGGCTTCATTCCATTTGGAATGTCTGAGGAGATACCGGAATCAAGGTGGGGACGCATCACCCAAAGCCGTATTACCGCAACTTCACCTGGTGCACCATCAGGTTGGTCTTCCTGGGCACAGCATTGACTCAGTACTCCTGCTAATTACCATTATTTTTCCATGACAATGGTACTCTTGCTTTATGATTTTGATACCTACCAACCATTTAAACCTCTAAAGGAGCAGATCAAGCCACATTTTAGCTTGGGTAAATTTGGGTAAATCTACAAAGTACTGATATTTAATTTTTTAGTTGACGCTGGAGAGTTAGACACGCTAACAGTCTCTTTTGACTCTTGGGGGCTCTATTGCTGAGATCTCTGCACTCAGGTCCTGGGTCTGCATACCTGATGTGCCCATTATAAGGAGTTCCCCGCCATCCATGCACTGAGTTTCCAGTTTTGCACACCTTCTGTGTATATTATGAGGTTCTTCTCATCCCAGTGCTGAGTTCCCAGGTCTGTGCATCAACTGTACCCATTATCATGGGTTCCAACCATCCCTGTGGTAAGTTGTCAGCTCTTCCCATCTACTTTGCTCATAATGAGAGGCTCCCATCATCTCTGTGCTGAGTTCCCAGGCCTGTACACCCATTGTGCTCATTATGAGGCATTTTCACCATGATTGCACTGAGTTCCTGGCTCTGCATAACTGCTGTGCCCATTATGAGGGATTCCAACTATACATGTGTTGAGTTCTCGGCTCTACACACCTTTGGTGCCTGTTATGAGAGGCTGCCACCATCCCTGCTGAATTTATATTTATTTTTTTATCATAGAGAATGTAATAGGAGCTGCTAGAACACCCAACCACTTCACCCTGTCATTCTCACCATAATGTCCTGACTTCAGGACTATGTGCAATGGGCTTCATAAGAAAAACATTTAGGTCCCCCTCCTCAGTTATGAATACTTGTTGCTTTTGTAGAATTAATTTAGAGGTTCCACAAAACCATACTTACATAATTTTTGACAAATTATATTGCTACTTGCATAAGTAACCAGACATCTCTGGGCCCCATAGCAGACAAAAAGTTTGTGCTTTAGGTATAATTTATCTTTCTTAATTTAGGCTTCTTTAACATTACTCACAATACCCTACTCCGTCTCTTTTCTGTCTTGTGTGCAGGCATTAGCGGTAGCCGGCCTCAGTCCTCTGCTACGGAGGAGTCACTCGCCAACTGCGTTTTCTCGCCTCTGTTCTACTCCACCTGCCACGCCCTGCTCACGAGGGTGGGCACAACAGACTGTGCCAGCAGTGAGGCTATATGGAGACCCGGGGTCCAAAGAAAACTTACACAGCAGCTTCCCCTCTGTGCACTGTAGTGACTGCAGCCTCGGGCGGGATCGTCCCACCTCGCTTACAGTCCCGTGCCATGTGCGGGAGCAGACGCGGCAGCACCACGGCAGCGCCAGCAGTTTAGTAGAAGCGGTAAGGCTCTGTTAAGTTATTATTTGCTGCCTATGTTCACTTTGGGGAGTTTTACTTTCAATTCCTGTCCCGATAAGGGAACATTGGAACAGGGACAGCACAAATACACATTTTCCAGTACAGTATGAATAGGTTTTAACTTCTGTAAGGTGTTAAATTTCTGTCTGTGCCTTCCTGTCCTGGTAATCCTCTGTCCCTCATTTCTACACATGCATATGACATTTCCCTGAACCTTGATTCAGTCTTGCAGGGTTGTACAGACTCTGATTTCACAACACATTGAGTTTCTCACAATGTGCACTAGAAGCTGCAGATAGAGCCCACCTCATTTCCTGGCTGGATGGCGTTTTGAATCATCTATCTCTTTTCTTCCCATTCTCACTTTGTTATTTCTGTTTCAATAGTGTTTATTGTTTTCAAGCAAGATAAATAAACAGATTTTGTGGCATGCCCACACAGGGGTTCAGATATTCACATGCATATAAAACAACAAGCTGAAAGAGGTGTACAACATAGTCATTTCAAAACAATAGCAAAGCCACAGGAGTGCTAAAATGATGTCCCCTTTCTGGGTCAGAAACAGCCAAGGGGTGTAGTATGCCCTCAAGTGAGCGGACCCTCAAAAAGAGAGGCAGGACAGAGGTAGAAAGAGAAACACTTTCTGTGCAATCATGGAGGCTCAGCATCACAGGTGGGCCTAGGGCCATCAATGCCAAAGTAGCCTGCCTAGGAACATCCACCCATAAAGATATTTTGATACTTGTATAACTCCTCCTAAGAGCTAGTCCACTGCTTTCATCAGGGTTGAGGACTCTTGAGTACTGAGGCAGGGTGCTATGATGTTTTCAGGAAGCTATATAGAGCACCATGGCTGCCCCTTCTAATAGCCATGATCTGCATGTATTGCATAGAGAAGCACAGAAGTCCAGTGATGACATCACCAGATCTACAATGAGGTACCTAATGAAGACAGAAAGCTTATTTTTAAAAATGGTATTAGCATGTTGATGATGTGAGAAAGAAGGAACCAGATAAGGAATATGCAGATTAAACTCCAGCCTTAATAAGATGACCCTTGATGACAAAAAATGGGAGTAAAGCACTGCACTGAAAATATCTGGAAAACTCAAATATCAACAAAATACACATAAATATACAAAAAAAAAATAAGAAAGGGGAGAAAAAAAAGACCCAACAAATTAATTTAAAAAATGGAAAAAAAAAGATTTTGGGCTTTTTACATGAGTTTTTAATTTTCTGCTCTTTTTTTAGACAATAGGGAAAAATGAATTCCTAATAGCAACCTAAAAAGTGAGACAAAATGAGCGGAATTCTCACCAAGGGAGTCACAGACAAATTAAAACCCAACAGAACTTCTGACCTCTCCCAACTATAGCAAAAACGTAAATAAAGTATTGAAGTATTGAAATGTAGAAGAATTTGATGAATATTAATATTTGCCTTTTCTCTTTTCCTCCTGGCCCCTCAATGCTTGGATTGGTGAAGGTGCTGATATCAGAAGGATTGACGCAGTTTGCTCAGGACCCTCACTTCCTACAGGTAGCAACGCACGAGCTGGCGGACGCCTGCGACATGACGATAGAGGAGATGGAGTCAGCCGCTGACAGCTTCTTGAATGGCAATCCCAGCCCCAATAGGAAGCTCTCCCCTTTCCCCAAACGCAGGGACCAGGGTGTGGATTGCGCAGGGGGTGGGTCAGAAGAGCCAGAACTCTCACCGGGTTGTCGGAACAGCAAGGGCGAGTCAGAGGACTGCCGGGTATATATGAGCAGCCCATAGCGGACGCTCCTCGCATGGACATGAGCCGCAGATATGGCGATATGACAGAGGGTGGATGTTTTGGAGGAGTTTCGTACTCCTTTTCTTTTTTCTTTCTCTTTTATTTTTTTTTTATTTTTTTTTTCAGTGTTCCTAATGAGTTTGTTTCAGAAGTGCCTCACTGTTCTCGTGGCCCGGAGTGACCAGAACAGAGTTTTTTCATCTATTTTAGTTGGGGCGGGAGGGGGGAGACATCCAGAGCTGACGGACATTGCAGTTATGGGAGTGGCAGACCGACTGGAATTCTTTGGGGGTCTTACGGACAACCTTGGAAAAAAATCTCAAAATCAAGACACCTGAGGACGGATCATTTGGGGACGCCTTAATTACATCACAAAGCTGTTTTCTTGTACCTAGCGCTGACTGTCCATCATCTCTAATTCACTGGCCATCCTCGACCCAGATGAAAAAGAGGACCTGTCATTTTTAAATATGATATTTGCCTGTTCAGTCTACTGATAGCAGTGGCATTTCCATGGTGTGGCTGTTTTTAATTCTGCCTGCTTCCCTAGATAGTTGGCCTGACCCATGGAGGACGGCCTTTGGTGGCCATGCTGGGACATTCTTATGCATATGACTGTCAACATCTGCAACTAAATTAAACAATAAGTGCACTATTAACTCTTCTTTAAATTAAATCTGTACTGTGGGAGATATAAAAGCTTGCTTTGCTCACCTCTGCTTCTGAAAATGCTAGTTACCTGGCATTCATACTGATCAAATGGGTTAAATGCTCTGGGTCAATGAACTGGTGTAAGTATGATCGCTCTGACAAGGCATTTTTACAAGAAGGTCAGCAACTGCAGCCCCTGTATTTCTCACAGTGAGGCTCCAGGCACACTAGCTTAACAAAACGCTCCTAGCAGAAGATTTTGACCATTTTTTTCTGCTTCTAGAAGCAAGTAGTGTTACCCAATGTGTCTATGTACACTATTTTAGTCTAGAAGTGTTTTTGAAGCTTCAGCTTCTAGGAGCAGAAAAAAACTTTTTTTTTGCGTTTTTGTGAGTGATTTGCCAGCAGAAAAAAAGTTGAATGCTCCTAACTGCTGCTAAAAACTGGCATTTTGTATAAGCTTATAGTGTGCATGGCTCCATGCATAGTGGCCAAAAAACAGCTTCTTCTACAGAAGTTTTGTGTTTTGTCTGTAGAAGCAGCTCAGTTTTATTCTATGGGTCCTTCATGCACATTAGGACGATTAGGGGCATATTTTAGGCTCAACGTTTAGAGGCAGGTAAAAAACCCTTTTGGTTCGTGTTTTTGATTGGAGCCTTCTGGCAGAAAAAATGCTAAACACGCCTAAACTGTGTACAAAAATGGTCTGTATCAGCATTTTTTTCTGCCAAAGGAATTGGCATTTTTTTTAAGCCCAGTGGGCATGGAGCCTAAAGGTTTCACTTTATACATTCACACAAGTCAAGCACATTTACAAGTATAACTTTTCATCTTTTCCTTTCCCTGGCTGTACACTGGCTGCTTCACTGAAAACCTCAAGCTTCTGTCAGTCCAGATTTCCTGGAATATTTATTATACTCACAGACATGCACCATCCCAGCCCCAAGAACTGACAGTAGTGCCAATTATAGATGGAAGCCAGTTCGGCAACTAACATGTTTTGGACTGTTTGAGGAAAAAAACAAACCCTAGGAGAGAGTACACAAACCCTGATAGTGTCTTTTATGAGAGTGATGTGAACAACAAAGCAAAATTGCACTTAACTACCACACTGCCGAGTCTTTTCAAGTTATAGTAGTGAAAGCACCCCTATAGCTGTACATGCTCGGTATCCCTATTGGAGGATGACCCTCCAATAGGGACACAAGCAGGCATTATGGAGTAGGGAAGGGTTAAAAACCTGACAGAGGAGCGCCAGACCAAGTGGTGAAAGAGTCCAAGTAGCTTTATTAATTTATGTTATGATCACATGAAACAGCCAGTGCATTTCAGAGGTTCAAAATACTCCACTGCACCGAGTCTTGAATATTGCATGTGTTTAAGTCTCAAAAAGGCACAATTACCAGGATACAATAACTAAAAAGTGATGTATGACATATCTCCCACTTCTTATGAGCCCAGGTCATCCTGGACCTATCCCAGCCTGTGATTGGACAGTGAAAAGAAAACAGCAGTGTGATGAGCTGATCTCTTTGTCACTCTGCAATCTCCTCCTATCTGCATGCTCCTTGCCAGCACATGAACTGACAGGCCCTTGTGCCACTTCTTCCTCTCACACTCCAGTCCTGCTGTACAGGGACAGGTCAGATTCAGGTACTTATACTGCTTGTATTTCAAAAATACATTTAATGATGTAATAAGGATTACAGATCTGCATTAATTTGTATCTTTTATATCTGCCTGGAGTTCAGCTTTAACGTATCCTGGTAATTCTGATGAATCATTAAAGCTACTTGGACTCTTTCACTATTTGGTCTAATGCTCCTGTTGTGTTTTATGTTTTGAATCACTTTCTGGAAGGGAGCCTTGCTTTACATACAGAGCCCAAAACAACCAGTAAGCTTGTTGAATGCTTTCTATGTTTTACTGAGTGAATAAGTTGTAAAGTCCCTTGGATGTGTTGTTTTGAGCATTTTATTCTGTGCTCCACTGGGGAAATTCCACCCCTGCTTCTTGTGTTGGTAACTGGTGTCAGGACAGAAACTGTGGGTAAATATTCACAATGGGAATGCAGGTTTTTGCTAGTGTCCTCATTAGCGAGAATTTCCCCCAATTCCTGTCCTGTTCTAGGGTCAGACAAGACATAAGTGTTTGGAGTTGTCCCAGAAGGGGCCATTCCCCACAGTACCCAGAGTTAAGAAAAAAGTTTGGAGTGGAGTTGAAACTTGTAGGAGAGATTAATGTCTGGAGCTCCATTTGAAGTATTGTGCGGTACAGGGGAAAAGTTAGAAAAACAACTCTTGGAGATATAGGATGGAAAGAACAAAGACATGTAGGAGGTATGTTCTAAAATGGGAAGAGGCATCTCTGGAAAATCCATGTTTATTATCAGTCATTCAATCAGTCAGATTAATCAATGAATAGTAAAGTCAAAAGTGACTGCTCTCCAGAGCTCTCCAGCTTAAAGAGTAACTTTAGTCCCCCATAATTTGTCCTCCGCCCCTTTCTGGTGCTGCCATCTTTAAAAATCCAGAGCATATGCAGATGC